GCCTTAGGGGGTTCCAGCTCAAGGCCTGAAGAGCGCTGGGAGTTCATTGTGTGCTTGAAGAGATCTGCTAAAATGACCAAGACAATAGAATCGGTTATCAATAGACCTACACTTGGTACTTTGAGATTCATGGAACTGTTAACTCCTATAAATTTGTCAGATTGAACAGTAAAAAACTGAATACTGGTCAGTGTAAGCCTGAAGTACACTGAAATATCATCTGCCCCATTTTGTTTTTTCTTTTCTACAGATCTCTGATTTCATATATTTCTAGATATGGATGTGCTTCTACAAACTACGGAATTTTTAAAATTAGGTTTATAGCCTAGTAAGTTTGTGCAGTAAACAAACGAAGAAATGTTCCAAGAAAATACATGCATACTAATAGCATGTTAATAATTTGGGGTTTATATATGCTTTTATAATACTGTATCCTGATCTTGGAGACCAGTTTATGTTTTAGTGTAATAGAGGAGCCTGAGGACACATCACGTATGTTATTCCAAAATATCCTAATGGACTTAGGATATTTCACAACTTCGAACTCTTTTTTTTTGCCACTACCATCAAGCCATAGGCTGTATTATTTAAAATGGCTGTTCACTGATACACTTTAAAAATGTGGACATTTGTTTCAGAGCTCTGAATATGAAATCCAAATTACCAACACTTCCCTGGTGTTTTCTCTAAAAATTCAAAGACTTTTTTTTTTTGTTGACGTACGCATTGTGTGCAACACCAGCTGGTTGGTGTGTGTTTCGCATCGGCTATGGTTTCCTTCAAACTGCCTGTGACAGATTCTATAGACTCTCTGATTGACATTGTTTCTGATTATCTTTGCAACTAAGCTGCAGATCTAACAGATTTAGTTATACAGGAAAAAAATCACTAAAACCTCTATAGCTTCATATTTGTATAGGAGTCCATGTTGTTTGTGTGACGTTAAGCTGTTTAGGACTTCACATAATGATTTAAAGTTAGTCTTGTGGGATGGTTAGTTAGTGTGTGCATGTGAGCATACATGTACATAGAATTGGGTAACTTTGTTCTGTGACTGCTTGAAGCTAAAGATCATTTAAATTGAATTTGTCTTTGTGCATGCAAGCACAAATATTATGCAAATGCCGGGAAGAATAATAGTTATGTAGTGAACATGTTTTTTCAAATATGAAAGAACAGCAGCTCTAGTTTTTCTCCATGAGAAACAACAATAGTGGTGACTGAGAGTTGGAAAAATAATTTATGTAGAAGCAAAGTGCTTTTGTTCTAAGAGAAACGTACATATGTCCACTGACAGGTTTTTATTTTGAATTTGCATCAGTGACAAGCATACTCAGTTTGTGGTGTTTTTATATAGAGTAGTTAAAGCCTCTCTATGAGAGTTTTAAGTAGGTTTCTTTCCCATATGCTCGGTTTTCCATAGGTAAAATGAGAATAATGACACTGACCTCCTTTGTGCTTCAAAAGTACTGCTGAGAAACATTATATAAGAATTGAGTATTATTATACAAATCATTCTAGTTTGATCCATCTCTGTTGACCTTTTTCATCCACGCAGTAAGATTACCGTGACTAGGAGGCTGATGGGTCTCATTGTGTTCAGCTTACCACTGTACGCACTGCTGTTTTTCAGTGGAACAGAAATCAGTGTAATCTCTTTTTGTCCCCAAATGATGGGTGTAGTTAAGACTTGGCATTTATTTGGAATTCAGTCATATTTAAAGTCTTTACAATTGGTATGTGATAAAGTATATATAATTAGTTTGGTGATAGATCTGCTTTAAGCTGAATACAGAAATCAGTTGAATATCTTTTAGAAGTCCATTGAATATTTTTAGATGATCTACATCCACTTCCTCCTTCTACTTTTTCTATGCTGTTTTATTTATAAAACTTGAAGAGATTGTTCCTGTTGATGCTGGTCTTTCAGTGGCAGCTGTGCCCCAGAGCCTTGGGCTGCTGCTGCACGAGGGCAGGGCAGGATGCTGTTGGAAGTTGGATTTCTCTTTGTTTAGAGAAGAGTAGTGACACTGGTGATACTGACTGTAACTCTACCCAAAAAGACTTCTAAATCTATGTCGTGTGTAAGCGACTGTCTTTTTAAAATCAAGACTAAGTAATTTGAACGACCCTTGTATTTACTAAAGTTGCCCTAATGGTGACCGTATACATCTAGGTAGCCTTGTAAATGAAGGCACTGTGCAGCAGTAGCTCTGAATTAGTGTTTTTTCCAGGGATGCTGCAGTAAATCTGGTGGTTATGTGTGGCTTTAGCTATGGGTATTGTATTTTTAAGCTAGTTTTCAGAGAGTCTGCATGTGTGTGCGAAGGGATGTACATATGTGTGTGTCTGTGTATACACATGCATGTGTATGTTAAAAAGTATTGCTAGTGGAAAAAGATTACAATCTACGTGCCACGTGTTGAGAAAGAAACAAACTGTGCACAGCAGTTGATGTGGGACAGTGGGTAGATGTGTATGTGTAGCTGTACACCAGCAGTGCCAATTGTATGGTACAGTAAGGCTGACACGTCTCAATCTTACATTGTGAAACGTGACATTACAGTGCCTCTTGCAGGCCAGGAAGTGTCACTGGAGACAACTCTGATGTAGCCCTCTGGTAAGAGAGCTGTAAGCCAAATGCTGACTTTCCAGAATTTTACTGCATTTTGCCATGTGATGTTATGTTGTCGGCACCAAAGAAAGTAATTTATTTCTTTTGCCTGGTAAGAAAAGGGAAAGGAGAGTTAGCATGAGAGCTGATCTTGGAGAAAAGGGTCAAAAGTTTCAACTGCAGCAGAAAAGAGGAAAATTTCTATAGCAGTACTGGGAAGTGACAGGCGTGTCACTGATGGCAACAGCCTGCAATGAGTGCAGAGACCAGGTTTTGATGAGAATATGCTAGCACAGCTTAGCAAATCCTGTAGCAAAAGTAAAATTGACAAGTAGCTGGCTGGTTTAGACAACTATTTTGAGCTCAAAATGTGAACACAATGTATATCAATCATGAATTACTGTTGTCTTGTGCACTCTGGCACTATGTCACAAAAGGGGTTTCATAACAGAGCAAGGATTTACTGTGGAGGTGGGTTTGCGAGTGTGTGGGGTTTGTAAGGGTTTTTTCCTGGGTGAGTTAGGTGACTGAATAAATTATTGAATAATAATCTAAATTATTATTTAATTATTGAACAGTAATTGAAATTATTGAATAAGGAAGCAGCAAGCTGCTTCTGAAGATGTTCTCAGATACAAATCTGCCTTTTGGAAAATCAGTATCAGGTAGTAGTGTTACTCCAAATGCCAAAGAAATTTACACAAAACATTAGAACATCCTTGTCTCAAATTGTAAATATTTCTCATGTCTCTGTTCACTTTTTATAAAGGTGAGACTTTGTGTATGTCTACATCTTTTCTACTTCTGTGCTGTGGCTACAGAAGATCCTTTTTTTAAGTATTCTTTTTCTCTCAGTTGTGTTGCTTCTGCTTTGTATTACAGAGAGGTTACACTGTTGAATTTGTGCTTTTACAGTTACCTCGTGGCAAAACATAGGTGTACTAAAATAAAAAAATATTAAAAGACCATGGTTCAGGATGAAGTGAGAAAAGTGGGCAGTGGAGGACAACAGGTTATATGGGAAAAGACCAGGGAGCAGAGATGTCAAACACCACTGAGTCAGCTTGGCACCATCTGGGCTAAGCTGAATGTTAGCCAGCTCCTGTGGAAGGAGGGCAGGGCAGGGCTGTGGTGAGGACTGGTGTTTGCGCTGCTCCGAAGGAACCTGTCACCTCAGATGCCTTCAGTGTCTGCCTGTGCCAGAGCGCCTAAGTAGCTCTTCAGGAGCCAATCCTTGTCCTTGCGGCTCATGACCCCAGCTAGACCCAAGCTGACTCTAGATTACAAGGCTGTGGCAGTGCTTCCTTGTATTTGATTCTGCCTCCAGGCCCACCGCTGTCATTCCCCATTTTGAATAAGGCTGTGCATAAGAATGGGGGGAGTTATTTCATTGATCAATTCCCAGCTCTCTTGATTTCACACTGTCATAGAGGCAGAAGCTGCTGCCATGATGTCCATAGATAAGTGTGTTCACCACTTTGAGTGGCTTGTGTACAGCAGTTTGAACACTCACGGGCTAGTGGTAGTGCTGTGTGACAGTTTTGATTAAGACATTCAGTCTGAACAATCAAGATTACAAGATACGATTTGGAACAGAGGAGGGGCAGCAGCATTTGTGAGGCTCTCAGCATAGAGCTGCGCTTCTCTTTGTGAAGGCAGGATGAGTTAGGTCCATAAGCGGTCCGGGATCACAAAGATGATAAACATCTTGGGATGAGAACACGCTGGGTTAGAGATGGCATGGTTGGCTTTGTCTTGATGTCCAGCTGCCTGCTCGGTTGCTTTAGGTAAGTTGTAAAGGCGTCATTTACTCCACCTGTACAGTGATAGGCTGTGACAGGCATAGTTCACTGATCTTTACAGAACACTTTACTATAGTGAGATGAGGAATGGTTAAGGCTGTGAAGATCTATGGGATACATATTTTGTATGCATGCTTATGATTACAAATAAGATTTGTATCCTGACTTCTTTCTAGAAATATACTCATTAATTTTAACTGTTAAGCTGAGGTATGGCTGTGTGCTCTTTGTCCTAGGTGAGAAGAAATTGTTTCTGGAAATAAAATGCTAACATGTAATTTTAAAGGTATAGCAGTGAAAGTGTAGTTTTGTGAGGTGTCCTTGCAACATCTGCTAAAAGGTCGTGGAGGCTGTTACATGAGGGTGTGTTTGCAGTGTATGAGACAGAAAAGCTAACCTGGTTCCAAAATGTTAAAATGATGTGAGAATTTGCCAAAGTGTTATTCATAGGTTACTAAGGGTGTAATTTAAAACTCTCTTTTCACTGCTCTTTTCAGGTAATATTTCAATAATCACATTACCAGTTTCTAGCACCAACTCCCCAACTAAGATTTTGCCAAAAACCTTAGGACCAATCAATGTGAATGTTGGACCCCAAATGGTAAGTTTTGCAAGTCCAGTAATGCTAACTTGTGTAACTAGATGTGTGACTTCCTGTTGACATAATGTGGAAATGTGAAAAAACAAAGATGTGAACAGTGCTAGGAACTCGCCGCTTCCTGCCTGCACTGCAAAGGCTGCTGAAGGGCCCCACCTGGATGGACGGGACAGCGTGTGGGTACAGCAAGCTTGGCATGCCAGAATTGCCGCTCCCAACAACGCTCTTGTACGTGAGCTTACAGGACACCTGTCTTCCTGGCTTTGCAGGGAAATTGAAACAACTCTGCCAGGTGACATTCTAACTGTTACTCAAAACCGTATTTAAAAAAAAAAAAAAAGATCTCATTAAGAATGTTATCGACATTGAATATTTTGAGTTAGAATCTCCAGCATTGTCAAAGACTAGATGTCTTGGATGTGTCACTAGAGATTTAACTTGTTGAAACTACTTTTCTTAAAACTGTCTTTTGCTGTCAGTGATAACTGTATATGAGTGTGTATTGCTGTTTCAGGGAGTTTGGATCTAGTTTTGAGAAAATTTTTCATTTTTCTGGTGGCCAGAGAACTAAACAGGCGGTACAGTGAACTGTTTCTTATAACCTGATGCCTACTTGCTGAGCACTTAGCCTGAGTGCAAGAACCATTTAATGTGTTTTATAAATAATTGTGGTGGGTCTTTTTCCCATCAGGAGTTACTATTGTTCTTCAATGACTTTTATCCCAGCTGGACAGATGGGCACAAACATTACAGCCAGCCCCGAGCTGCATCTCCATCTGAAGTACTTGCCACAGGCTGTGTACTAGAGAATGGTGTTCCTCAGTGCATCGGTACTGCTGCAAGTCTTGCTAGAATGTGTGCCCTGTAGCATTTCACTGGAATAGTTCTATGACAAAAGATGAGTTTTCCAAGTGCAATAAATAATAGCCAAGAACAGAGCAGAGCAGTCAGTTAATGCAGTGCCCGCTCTTATGAGGGACTTCTCAAGGACCCGCTTTTGGTTTAATTGAACCCTAGTTAGACCTTACATTCTATAGTGGGTAGAAGTTGCAAAAGCAGAAGTGGCATGGTGTGAGACATGCATTTTATTTATTTTTAATTTTTATTCTTGGTTTTAATTTTTCTAAAATTATTTTACTGCTTTGCAAAGATAGATCTATATTCAGAAAACATTTTCTTCCTAAATAGGAGGCCTATTTTAGTTAATGACTAAAATACCCAGTTGATGGCTGTGTTGTGTCCCAGACCATTTAAAAGGGAATGTTCACAAGTTGTTAACAGTGGGAATGTTAGCACTCACTCCTCTGGCATCTCACCGGTGTTCACAACATCCTGCTGCCACCGAGCATTTTGGTTTTATTTAACCACTGTAGGTTACAGCCTTCACAAACCAGCACACAGCCCCAGGGTCAGCAGAGAGGGCCGTGGGCTGAACAGTCACCGTTGGTCTGAATCCCTTGGGGTACAGCCCTGCAAACAGGGAAATCATCACAGTTTGCAGGCTGGATTCTTGTGTACGGGTATTTCTTACAGTTTCTTTAGATTCAGCCTGTAGGTGTAAATTTAACAGCATTAAGGATTGTTGATAAACTGTTAGTGCTTGATTACAGGAATTTAACGCATCCTACAGGTGCTCTATTTGCTAAATTACAGTAAGGTTTTCTGTTTTATGCGATGCAGTGAATTTATGTGATTACTTGAGGCACACTTGAAAAACATTTGCTGTTAAGATGGAATTAGTCCTCTGAAAATACAGTGTAGCGTTTCTCGTGAAAGCAAGCATTCAACAGTAAATTTAAAAGGGACAATGATGTAACTGATTTGTATACACGTGACATCTGTGTCCCTGTGTCCAAGAACTTGCAGCTTTACGAACAAGCTGTGGACAGGCAGATTTTTATGCTTGCGCAGCCGTGGCCTGTGAGCGCTCATCCACCAGGCGCTACCCGAGTGGCGTGGCCGTGGCCGAGGGCAGGAAGGGGCTCCGGGAGCGCGTGCTGCTGGTGCCCGTCTCCACTAGATGGCGCCAAGGGATGAAAAGATGCGGGACAGGCCGGTCTGGGGAACACCTCCGCTGCTTGTCGTGGTCGTCACAATAAAATGACGAGATTAGACATAAAATATTCTTCTATGACACGTTTGGTCTGTAATTTACGAGACATGTGAAGAGCAATGTGAAACCTCGGAGAGGGTGGAATGTGGTGAAATGCATTTCAGTATGCAAAGTATTTAAAATCTTTTCCCCCTGACATGTGTCTGCCATATGCTGGCAGAACCATATGCTTACTGCAAATAAACGTTATTTATAGCGTTGCAAGAAATTGAAATAAAAAGTCACGGGATTGGATTGATGTTGAATTGAAATATTGCATTAGCGATTCTCACATTCATCCTGGAGTTACACCAGTGCTGAACTTAAGCAAGCTTTTAAAAATTAATCATTCTGTCATAAAATGTTTCTGACTTTAAGCCAGTGTAGCAGTAAGTTGATAGAAGTTGATATCTTTCCTGTGCCTGCATGCAGTGTGTAAAGCAGCCAGACCAGGATCTTTTGTTTTCCAGTATCGACCAGTAAATGCCTAACTTGTACCTGTGCTTTGGCCTAAATTTCTGGTTTCACTTGTTTCTTTCAAGCTATCCACTTGCAAAAGTAAATAAGACAAATGTATGTCTTTAAGATAAAAAATACATGCATGTAATCACAGTGTGGTGTCAGGAGGGATGTGAAGTAATGCTCAGTGAGCTAAGGAAACGGGAAATGCTTCAGATACCATTTTTTCTACTTGTTTAAACAATATTTGATGGATACTAAACAAAGTATCTGCCATGTACTTACATGGGTGTTGGTAAGTTAAGTAGTAAAGGAAACTACAAAGTTTAATACAGTAGGTACTCAAAATGTTACTAACGAATGAGGTAAAGTAAAATAAAGTTTAAACAGGCAAAATTAAGGTATATGAGTAAAAAGCATTGTTGAAGAAGCTTTGGTATGAGTCTTAATGTACTGGAATCAAAATAATTTAGCATGTTTTATTTTAAAGATTAACTAATTAATACTGGTTCATTTTTAATTATTATCTAAATTCTTCTGGTGACCTACTTTAAAGAATGAACTTAGATATGATTTAAAAGTTGAGACCAAATGTCTTCCTGTTAACAACCATTGTACATACAATGTCACCAGGTTTGAATAAATGTAAATCCTATCTATACTGCACAGCCTTTATATTTAATTCCATGGGTACAATGTTGTATTATTAGCTTGCTGGAATGCCTTGAGATCCTGTGAATGTTAGAAACTGCAGGGAGTACTTCACCTGCAGCTCAGATTGTCTTTGGTATCAAAGACACACAACTGCAGGAGACAAATCCTTGGGAAAGAAGGCTTTATTGATTACTGATCAAGAAATGGCCTAGACGTACTCTTGAAGGAAAAAAATAGATGTATATAGGTACAGATCCTATCTGCCATATCTAGTAATTATTGCTATTTGTCTAGATCTTACCCATATGAATAATACAGTAATATGATATGATTAGTAGAAAACGGCATTGTGATTACTTTCATGTATGAAGTTCTGATGACATCTCTTCTGTATATTTTGACTGCAGCTTGCATCTGGTACAGAATTACTATTTTTTTCCTTAGTATCGTGTTTAGTATGAATTTTGCACTGTGGTAATCCCTGTTTTCTTGAGAGAGCTGTGTTTTTTATTTCTAAATTTCATAGATCATAAGCACATCACAAAGACTGACCAATTCAGGGAGTGTTCTGATTGGGAGTTCCTATAACCCAGCTCCAGCAATGGTCACACAGACACACATAACGGAAGCTTCTAGCTGGGGCCCAGGGTAAGATTTTTGTTTTATTTAAAGATGATTGAGGATCTGTTCTGATTTTTTCCTCTATTTATAGTGTTATATGTTCGCTTATGGCTTCCAGTTCTTACACAACTAAATGGAGTTTGCTCTTCAGACTATTACACATTTTTGATGTCTGGAGCATGTGAACACCGAAGTACAAGCACCAGCCACTTTCTGTTTTAATTTTGGTTTATGGCAGTGTCTGTTTCTCTGTGAAAATGTAGAGTCACAAATTCCTGAGTCCTGTTAAGCCTTTATTTTTTTCAGAAGTTCATGGTACATCCAAGTAGCTTTACTGTTGAGTGTATCAGCGGGGAGAGACTGTCAGAAACACTTCAAGAGGCATTTAAGAATGAAGCTCTAATGGAAAATTTTGAATTTAATCAATGGTGTATTCTTACTACTATTTTACCAGTAGTAGCAAGCTTTCATGGGGTTCTGAGGTACTCTAACATGACTGCATGTCTTTAAGGAAATCTGGTCTTTTCAGTATTTCGTGATTATTATTTTTTTTAATACTAGTACTGCTGAGCTTATCTGTCTCGAGAGATGTAGTGCTTTGCCTCTGAAAATTAAAAAGTAATTTATGTATCTGGGTTATTTTTTTTAAACAGGTGATTAATGTCAGTAGTATCTTTCCAGATTTAGAGGTGGGAAAGTGAAGCATCTAGAACATGGCAGAAATAAGAGTATAATGTTGGTACCTTGAGTTTCTTCATTCTATGCTGTCAGCAAGGACTGTCATAGGCTCGTACTTCCCAGTCACTGTATTTCCACCAGAGTCACTAAACTGCACGCCCAGCTGAGCAGTTTTTAAGCTTGATTTTTTTGCTGTGTGTTTCTCTCCTCAAATACCTTTTGAATTCACTTAGTTGTGATTTTATTTGAAAAAGAAGTTGTCAAAGATTACTTTGTTTCTGCAAATTTTGTGAAATGTGGAGGCCAGGCAGAAGTTCTTTCAGTACCCAAAGGAGGGCAAAGCTGTAGTGTCTGTTCACAGCTCGCTAAACTAGGGAATCAATGCCTGTTAGCTTGCTTAAGCATCCAAGCCCCAGTGATGGAGATGCCGATAGACAAGCCTAGTTGCGGTGCATCCACCACCAAGGAGAAGCACCAGCCTTCTGTTTGTATGCTGTCAAAATCTAGACACAGTATTTCCAATGAGCCTAACTGTTGTTTTGCCCATGAAAGGCAGCGAGATGTTCTCCAGAGTGGCTGTCCAGTATTGATCCCTGCAGAAGTTCATACAATAGGTCATATTTTCATCTGAAGAACAGAGGTGAGGAAGGATCTGTGATATTGCCGAACGTAAGCGGTGAGCCCTTGCCGAAGACAGTTGCAGAAGATTACGAGTCCAGGCTCCTTGCTTTACCCGTTGTTTACTCTTCACAGATTCCAGATTGTTTCCACAATCAAAAGAGGGAAGAGTATAGTCATTCTCAGGGCTCCGTACAACCTCCACCAGTCTGGCGTACAGGCCAGGGGACCGCGCTCCGTTCTCTGCCGTTCTGCCACCAGTTGCTCAGGGTGAGCGGTTAAGCACCATGGACAGGGGTTGCCAAAGACAGAAACCCTGCTGTTGGTGCTGGATCGCACAGCCAAGTACAGGCAGGCTTCCATGGCACAGGTCTTCCAATCCATTATTTTTGTTCAACTCCCTTCATAACACTGTCAGGTTTTCACCTGTGTAAGTATCTACTGTGAACCCTGGTTTTGAAACTGCAAGGTAGCAACATGAAGTAATTTACCGATAGTTGTCAAGCAGTGGGCATTGTATCAGCTGCAAGAATAAAAGACTAGCTTGGAATACCACTTCTGACGTCGGCTTGCTGTAGCTAATTGAACGATAAGGAAAGCAGCAATGATTGGTGACTGCTACTCCTATGCAAAATTCATGTCAACTATTTCTTCAGAGTATCAGCTCTGTATGCATCAGCTCCAATATGAATGTGTTTAGTGTTTTACCTTGTTTTTTGTTTAAAGATACCAAAACTTTCAAAGTCCTGAAAATACAGGATATATCTTATGCACTGTTTAAAGGCATTTTTCTTCCACATGGAGGAATTTTAAATAGGAATTTTCAAAGGAGCCCAGCTTCTCCTTTTTGATGGGATTTGGTTATTAGCACTTCCTACAATTCAGGATGAACTGAGGTCCCTAAAATCATGCAGGAAAAGCATGGTAAAATTGGGAATAGAACGTGTCAGGCAGTGAGCTCAGCCTCCAAAGTCCTAACCACCTTCTCTCAAATTTTGTCAAGCTGTGTGTGTGCTGGTTTCTCCTTTCAGTAAACATGTAACAGTAAACATTGGTACCCACCTAAGCCCCAAATACATTGATTTCGTTGCTCTAAATACATAATACTATTTTCATCTAAGTTTGAATTGTCTTTTCTTAGGGACAGAAAGCGGACTCGAGAATTTATAGAATCAGATTTTTCAGAAAGGTGAGCATGATTGAACATACATATTTTATGTATATGGTCATACCTGGTTTACTTTGTCAGATCTGCTCTTCAGGGAGATGGGTGCCCAGTTCCCGCTTTCAGCAGTTTTCACTCCTTCGCATAAAAGCTATGTTGTATGTTATTCCTTGTAGTTATAATTCATTATTCTTTGCTTTATGGCTTCCTGATAAATACATTTGCTGTTACAGATGATACTGGGAGTTGTGAAAAAGAAACACGACACATCTTCAGCAACAGGATTGTTCTAGTTTTCAGTGTGACACATACTTGTAAACAGATGATGCTTTCCTTTGCTTCAAAAATGTATTTGAATGCAATTCAAGGGGGTTTTATTTGTTCACCTGTCCCAGGTTACTCGAATAACTGCATAGGGATTAGGCGTGCTGGGTTTTAAATCTTCTGGTGTTCCCTTCCACTCCTCCTTTTCCTCTGTCCTTCTTTCCAGTGTTCTGTTTTCTTAAAGCATTCTTGTATTTTAATGTTTTCCTTAGCTTGACAGAACTAGGCCTTTTTCTGTAAAATAATAGATCTCCCTGAAACATATTACCAAACCAACTTGTAAAACTGTAATTTAAAAAAAAAAAAACCAACACAGCTGAGCTTTGTAAAGGCTTCTGTTGAAATATGCATCCAAATCTAGCTTGTGTGATAAAACCAATCACTCTTTTTTTTTCCCCTTACCATTATGTAAGCTCTTGCTTTTCTAGAGGAAGAAAGTGAATGGAAAATAACTCCCGACAGTTGCCAGTTATTAATTTGGCACCATAAAAACCAATGAATATGTACTTACAAGAATCTTTTTTGTGGAGAGTATCTCAGTCTTAACTATGATGACACAGATACTAAACTTGGTCATTACAAGAGTGAAGGTATCTTCTGCTGTGTTGTAAATAGGGTTTTTGGCTGCTCTTTTGTGAAACGACCTGGAGATGAATTATAAAGCCTCTGCCCAGTGCTGTGTTCAAATACTATCAATGTAGAAATTGCTGAGAAAGGGGAAGCAGCTCCAGTGTACTTTTTTGCCAACTTGTAAGAAACAGGAAACTGATTCAAAAAAGCAGAACAGTTTTATTTTTCATTTAGGTAGTACATGTTATGAGTCCTGATTCATGTTGCAAAACGTAGACCTTTTGCTGTGTAACAAAGTAACTTATTAACATTCAATGTATTAAAATAATTACTTTTTTCCTTCCAGTAAGAGAAGCAAAAAAGGAGATAAAAACGGGAAGGGTCTGAGGCATTTTTCAATGAAAGTCTGTGAAAAAGTTCAACGTAAAGGAACAACGTCATACAATGAAGTTGCTGATGAGCTGGTATCAGAATTCACAAATTCTAACAGCCACCTGTCTACGGACTCGGTAAGTAAATATGAGTTGAAATCTGTTACATCATTACAAAATTGTCTGGTTTATCATGGAATTCTGTTCCTTCTGTTTCTTCACTGTCCAGCCCACGTTCCATACTTCCCTTCACATAAGTACTTTCCAAATACAAAGACTTACCCTCTGAAATCTAAAAATACAGAATTAAAGAATTGAACTTCCTCTAAACTATAAACACAATGGAGAAGTCTGCCAAAAGAATTACCTTTAAAAAAAAGACTGCTCTGGTCTTGTCAGGCTTTTCAATTGACAGACTTGCCATGGTGAGAATTTGCTGCACAGCGGAAGGTTCCATTTGCCACCAAACATGCTCACGTGGTATCCAGGTAGTAGCACAGATAAAGACATTGTGTTTTAATACCGCTCTGACTTGAACTGCCGCTTTGGCCTTTTACCTTCTACATATCTATAAAGGATGTGTTCAATCTTTTTTTTCTTTTCTTTTTGCGTTCTTTTGTTGTAATGAATGCTGCATTGTTTTCTTAGCAGGCTTATGATCAGAAAAACATTAGACGGAGAGTTTACGATGCCCTTAATGTCCTGATGGCAATGAACATAATTTCAAAGGAGAAGAAGGAAATCAGATGGATCGGCCTTCCTACCAACTCAGCTCAGGAATGTCAGAATCTAGAGGTAAGGTGAGCTAGATGGGAAGTTCTGTACAGCTCACAAGTTGTGCTAATGGAGCTCCTGTACTTTAGAAGAGGGGGTTTTCTTCCTCAATTTGAACCTTATTGGTTTTGATTCTTGCACACTGTGAAAATACACTTTTGATATTTGAATGAACTGAAATGATATGGTTTTGTATGATTATTCAGGGGTTTTTAGTATGTATTACGTGAAGTTTAAAAAAAACTAAACCTGTTTACCTTATAAAAAATGGACATTGATTAAGTCAGGGATTACTTTTAAGATTAAAGTCTGTAGTAGCCTGAATTAATCAGAAGAAAGTCAAAAGAATTTATGGTGCAGTTATGCTTACAAAATGGTATAAACCTGAAAGGAGACCAATTTTCTCTTAATGTTTGTACATGGAAATGCAATTGAAAGGAAATTAAATTGAAAAAATAATTCCTGCTCGGATGTCAAATAGTAGTTATGACCTGACAGGGGAAAAAAATGGAGTTTTACTTATTGGCTATTTCCATTATTTATTTTTTTCTTACTGTTTTTTTCCATTATTTTTCCAGCAGGCTAGGAGTTACCATGTTTTTGCAGGGATGCCAAAATTTATATGCACAAATGTTGCTTGTCCTTCAGGCCAAATGCTCTATAAATAAAAAGCACAAGTGACTGTATTTACTGCAGAGTGCTGTAATGACTGTATGTACGTACATCTTAAGATGTATTATATTTGTGATACTTGTGACATAAAATATCTTAGAAAGGGGCTGGGGTGCTTCTCCAGTACAGAACAATTTTTTTGGTACAGGTTCGTTTACATCAATTGTCTTTCTAGATGTGGTAAGAAAAAAAAAAAACCTTTTACTATTCTTGTCCATTACAGCAACTTGGAAAAGACATCCACCCAAGGAGTGTGCATATGCTCAGTCATTATACGCCAGGATATTTTTAATATTTTTTTAAATATGGATAAATCTATGTGTTACATGCCTTCATGTGAATGCATTGTCTTCAGTATAGGCTATTGTTACAAATACGGAACTTGAATTTCATGGTGTCATCTACAATGATCATATGCTATTCACTGTTTCAGGCTCTAATTACATATGCACAAAATGGAAGCCCCACATTTTCTTAAAATGTTGCTTCCTATGACATGATAGAAAAGAATAGAAAATAAAGCTGCATTTTCATGGTGTGAAAATCAGAATTAATTTTGCTTTTAAAGCTGTATAAAGTGCCAACTCTTCTTACAGTGTAATTCCAATAATAAGATTACCAGTATAAAAATGAGAAATCAGTACAAAAAAGGTTGTTACATAGAAACCATATCTAAATTAGATCTGTACCGTTTATTTGGTTTAAGAGTTATATATTTGTCCCGGTAAAGAAAGTCTCTGTGCTCTGAAGGAAGCATTTTAAACATTGGAGTGTGTGAGGGGGAACCACCCCAAAGCAACATTGTAAATAAAATGGGGGGTGGGGGGGGTTAGGCCAGCTAAGCTTCCAAAGACTGCATCATTTAGTTTCAGTGGTTGAATGAAAAGGTAATTTGAGAGTTTAATGTCTTTGGGAGTAGTAATACAGTCCTGGCACCAACAGGATGATGAGGAAAAATACCTTTTAGTCATGACAGCTACTGTCCAGTTCTTCAGTGTTGCCCCAGAAGACTGTTTAAAATACTCTTGGTTGTATCTGCAGCATCAGTAGGCATCCAGTACTATTGCTGTCCCAAACACTGCACGCTTTTGTTGAAGATAGCTTTGCCCCATAAACTGGCATTTGCAGGAAATGGATTCTGTGTTCATGTAGAAAATGTTACCTGTACCTCCTTTTTGTTGGTGAAATCTTGTTTGTTTAATAAGTCTCAAATGAGTAGTCCAAGCAAAAAGTGGAGGTCACTGAAAGATGCAGGTGTGATCCTGAGCCCAGTCTCCACCCATTTATGTCTAGTGGCTCACAGCTGGGACAACAGTGGAAGGGATGTGCATGATTCCCAGAGTGGAGGGCGGGGGGGGGAACCCACCCAAAAACCAAACAACCAACCCAAAGCACCCCTTCAAGCAAGTGTTTAATTTGGCACTAATTGGCACTGAGTGCACAATACAAAAGAGGGGAGGTGTGGCTGGGGAAATAATACAGTCAGTCTTTTGTAATAATTGATTCTTTACTGAAGTTAAATTATTGACAAAGAAAAAAATTACAGTTTGTCAGACATGTTTTATGGAGAAACTCGTGTAACTATGCAATTAGTCTGTTTGAATTTGGGCAAATGGGCCAAAAAGGCTTGTGACATTTACTTGCTATGCCATGGAATTCACCACCATTTATAAAGATTTTTGTAATGGTGCTAGCACACTGATGTAGCTTTAAAGCCTGTTCAGTTGGCACAGTGGAACCCACAAGGCAACTAACTATCTTGATGCATTTACATTTATATTTTAAGATAGAAAAACAGAAGAGGATTGAAAGGATAAAACAGAAGCGAGCCCAACTTCAAGAACTGCTGCTGCAGGTATATTGAATTTATTTCAATTTCTTTTTTCTATAAATGAAATTATCAAGTGCAAACCTGACATGTTCATGTTAGAACTTCTGAAGTTCTTCTAGATTGATTTAGCAGCTATGATATACCAGGGAGAAAGGTTTCACACTTGCACACTTGTGACCTTTCTGGATTCGGGGGGGGGGGGGGGAGGTTCATTTTTACCTATTGTGAAACAGCATGCTGCATCTGCCTGCCCCAAGCTCTTCTAAGTGTTCGGGTGAGGCTTTGTCAGCATTAGTGGGAATGGGAACAACTCACATCCCCTTTGTTGACTCCCAAGTCCCCCCAGAGTTACCTTCTCGGAGTAGTTCTTACTGGAAAATTTCTCTTTGATTCTAAACTATGAAATTTACAACTGGACTTGTGTAAAGACGTACAGAATTGCTTTGGGGGAGCTAGACAGAGCAGGCAAATCCAGCTCTTTCACCTTCTGATATGCACCTGTGAGATGACCTGAGTTTTGGTTTTGATTGCAGAAATCTATTTCAAATGCATCTATGCTTATAAAGTAATAGTTTATAAATACAGTTGTGAAGATTAAGTGTTTTGGTCTGTGCAGACTTGCAGTAATTTTAAGTGCAATCAAACTATTTTATGAGGTTACAGGCAATAAGGCTATATTTCTTCCCCGGTGTAATTATATCGATACAATTTCATGTAATTAGATATGCACTGAAACTTTTAAATATCTAATGCTTCTCCTTTTTTCATCACCAAATACTGTTTCTCTGCTTTGGGCACAATTCTGACTGCTTTGTCTGACCTGATAAATTAGCAGCTTCTCTAAGAGTAACATGAAATTATCCTAGTGAAAATAAGGCAACTCAGGCCCTCTATTAGTCTATTAGGCCCTCTATTAGAACTATTAGTCTGAAAATGACAGAGTTGCACTCCTTTGCTGTCTACAACGGTCATTATTTCCTTGATTATGTTCATTGTCAAATGGTTTACCAGTCCTTTGGGATTCTGTCTGCCCATCTTCCCCTTAAGTGGAAAAAGTAGTGTCTCAGAGTGGGTAAGTACACTGACTTCAACTCCCTCAAACAGCATCTCCTAAAAACACATTTTCATACATATGCAGTCAGATATAAGAATTCAGTAGCGAGAGAGTGGTGTCACAAATTACACCTGTTTAAAAATTCAGAGGAGAGTTTCAGAACTAGCTGTTTTGAGTGGGAAAAGAGGGAGATGGATGAGAAGAGGAAGAGCACATAGATCATGGGAAGTGGGGAATGCTATAATTTCTGTGAACTTTTTTTTTCAGTGTAACTAGCTCCTAGTCTGAGGTAATTATGCATATAAAATAACAGAGGAGACTTCTGACTCCAGTGCCTTTTCAGAAGGAGCAGAGAACCATTCTCCACCAAGCTTTATGGTTCCTTTCTTGTTTGTTGTCCAGGGATTGTGAGGGGGGCATAGCCATTAGGGTATGTGTGAAAAATTCGTGTTCCTGGTGAGCCTCACTAGTGCAGAGAGGAAGTCAGGCCACAACTTATTTTTTGACAGAAAATTACTGGAAGTAGTGAGAGTTGGTAGATAAGAGCTATGAAGTTCCACTCCCTGGAAATACTGATGTCTTTTATTGTCAGTCATCATTTTTCTTTCTTTCTACAGCAAATAGCATTCAAAAACTTGGTCCAAAGAAATCAGCAAAACGAACAACAAAATCAAGGCCCTCCAGCTTTGAACTCAACCATACAGCTGCCTTTCTTAATAGTCAACACGAGCAAAAGAACAGTTATAGACTGCAGCATATCAAGTGATAAGTGAGTGGTTATGGAATCAATTTTTTTAATTTTATTTTCTTTGTGGACTGGATTTTTTCTTTGAACAAATCAGAGAAATTTTCCTAGTTTACTAAAAGTAACTATGTATTTAAATGTGCTATTGTCACTTCAGGAGGGTGTTTGGTTTTGGGTTGTTTTTTTTTTAATATTTAATGCAACCACAGTAGTACTAGGAATAATTTTATCATCATTGCTTTACAACACAAGGTTAAAGCAGGCTGACTTTCACTGTTGTAAAAGGCACTTCAGACTGACATTTCAAAGAGAGCATTCACTGCACAGGAGAAATAATGAAATGATATACTAGGACAGCACTAGCTTTTAATGAAGCCGTGTGGTAGTGCTTCTGGATTCTTATTCCTAATATGCCATAAATGTATTTAGTCAGAAACACATGGTGATCCATGTAACACAAAACAAACATCCTGGAGGTGATAAGGATCTTTTAATTGCAAGACCCTTTTGAAAAGGGTCTTTTAATAGCAAAAAGGTTGCTCTTTGAAGGAAAAAAAAGAAAGAAATTAGATGATAGAAATTTGAAATACTGTCTTTGTAAGCAAACTGCTATAGTTGCACTGTTACGTTAATCTGAAAATCTTCCACTTACGTACTCCTGGTGCTTGTGCTCTTCATCCTGTGAAAATATGGCTGGAAGTATGAGGCACTGTTACGTTAACTGTTAATCCGATCACAACTAGTTTATTAGCTGAAAATAGCTGGCTTTGCTTTAATACTGTAGATTACAGATTCCACTCTGCGGTATGCAAAGCCCATATTGAACTTCAAGTCAATTAACATATAGCAAAAGTAGTCTCTAGTAAGCTAAGCACCAACATGCAAAAAAGCAATGCTATTCAAAAGTTGTATTTTTGTAGAAAATTGGACTGAAGTCCAATGTACATTCTGTGACAAAACTTTTGGAATCCCCCCATCAGCACTGCAGTTCAGCAAGTAGGGAATTTTAGGATCAATATTGATTTAGCTTAACTATACCCTTATTGTATAGACATACTATAGAGTTCTTACTGCACTGTTTAAAAGCACTCTATATTTAGGTTTGAAGTCATTAAAATTTGAATGATTTCATACTGAAACTTCAGAACTGCTGCTTTGAAGTTGTCAGAGATTAAACTGGCATTTGGGATCTAGGGAAGCGTAACACACTTCTACAATCTCAAACTGTAAGAAAACACTACTACTAAAAATAAGCACACCAAAATTAAGTTGTTGATATTTCAGTTTATATAACCCAGCTTCAATATTACTGTCATCTGAGGATCATTAAGTGTACTACTCAACTTAAACAAGCTTTCCACTGTGGTTATTATTTGTGCAACTGATCAGTGGCAGCAGCAGTGTGTAGGTAAACAGTGCCAGAAACTGCTGGTTTTTAAACGACTGTTACATTGATCTGCTAAGTAAAACAGCTGGCCAAAGTGGGCACTCAGTTTGCAGAATTCACATTCTGTAGTTTATTGGAGAGTATTTGCGCTGCCCAGCCCCATTACTGGTCAGCTTGAGTGCTTGCCCTTCACTTGGCTTCATCCTTAGTTATTAACTCACTGTTGGAATGGGCTTCCATTTTCCTTTCTTCTCCCAAATAACATATACAATGCTATACATTAGAGAAAGCATGTAGGAAGTAGGCTCTTGTATCCTTAGAGAAAGAATTGCCTGCAAGAGCAGATACTCCAGATTAAATTCATTGTCGACCAAATTTGCACTTACCATGGGAACTGTACCCAAACTTTGTGTTGGCCTCTGGATCTAGCGTTTAGCGCTGAATAATAAGATGGCAGCCCAGTAGATCACTCTGTGAGAACAAAAGTTGATTTGTCACTAACAGCCAAAATAATGCTGAAATTACTAGGCAAACCATAAGAAATACAATGTAAAACTCGGTATGTATAGTGCTTTTCTATCTGGAATGCTATATGCTGTCGTCTTCTTGTTAAGAGTATAGCATAACCAGGAGACAGACGCAGGAGGGCATCCAGAATGCCTGAAGCTATGAAGAGGCTTTCACAGAACTAACAGGTGGACTCTTTGGCCTAGAAAGAGAGGACAGTGGAGTCACAGGTGTCCTTCAAATCATGGAGGACATGGGGAATGTGCATAGAGAACAGCTGCACACATTTGCTTGTTAAAATTAAGAGACAATAAGACACCAGGTGACAGGTTTTAGACAAAAAGATTAATATAAGTGGTTTTCTAACAGTCTGTGCAAATCATAGCATTTGATGTTGTTCACACCAAAAGCTTACATAAGTTCAAAAAGGGGCCAGGTCACATCCCTGAAAGAAAACCCTCAAATAGCTATTAACGGCAAAGGTAGAAGTATAGGGACTTCCTAGGTCAGAGGCTGCAGGTTGCTAGAAACTATGCTGGAGAAATATTACTCTTAAGTTACTTTGTTTGGAAACTTGCGGGGGGAAAAAAGAAGTTATACTCCTTTGTACCACCCAGTATTTGATGACAACACATGGGAGAATAAATGCAGAGCTATCAATAAATACAGCCGTTAATCCTGTACCATCAAAAGCTGAATTCAGTTATTACTTAGTTAACTACACAGCTTGCTGGTAGAAACTTGGTACAACACTGGTCTCCCATGCCCTTTGTTTGTGTAAACATAGTTCTGTGACTTTAGCTGCACCAGTCTACGTAGCAGGAATAATTGTACCAATTAAAGGTATAGTGACACATCTTGTTTTCCCTTTTAACATGGTTACACTTCAATAAATATAGCTGCATAAACAATAGGTTTCACAAGTAATACCTTATGAGAGAAAAGGAATGCCTGTAACTGACAATTACACTTAGTACAAAACATGTAGATTTCTAGATGAAAATTTTGTGTGTAGGCACAAAAGACGTAACTTTTCAAACTCATTGGATCAGGTATAACAAAATGAGTATTAAAAAAAAATTGTCAAGAAAATCCATATGTGACACAAAGCTAATGGAAGACCCACCAGTGAGTTATCTTTTAAAGGTCATATCTCATGGATGGGTTGCTTTTCCAGGGATGAAAGTTTTGTCAGCAGAAAAAGAGGTACTGGGAACTAGCTGTCCAGGACCACTGGGACCAGTGCTGTCCTGGCTTTTAATAGCCTGTGGTCATAGCATAAGGCCAGTCTAGATGCTCTCACTTTTATTACAGCTAGATTAAGTGTATATCACTATTTCCACTTTTATATGCAATGAAAACCATGGTCAGAGTCCTGCAGCAGAAACGGTAGATTGTGAACATACAGGACTCTGAACAGACTGCTTTGCTAGCTGCATCCAAAAAAGCAAAGTTATACCAAGGTAAATAGGTCAGTTCACAAGAGGAGTGTTGCACATTAGAACAGAAAGTGAAATGTAAAAGAAGCAAAACCAAAATAGTTATTTTGGTGACAGGGCTGCAAATGACCTTTAAAAGTACTGGATTTAGGACAAGTGAAGGTTCATGTTTACTAAGGCCTCCCTCTTTCCTCTTTGAATCTGTTTAATGAGATAGAAAAATGTTAGACTGTCTTCCTGCAGTGGTGAAGTTACTTTAATTGAGAAAGTGGCATTTTAAACCCCATAGGCGTGCCAGTCACAGAAACAGAAGAGAAAAAGCATTTGCTGGAATTTTTTTTTTTTCCCCTTAAGGACCCTTTACAGATAATGAAGAATCTAGCCAGTTACCTCAGTGCATACCAAAACAAAAAAGGAAAGCTAGGCAGAAAAAACAGAGCTGTATTCTTTTCAAAAACCATCTCACTTTAACTTTTTACATGCAGATTTGAATACCTCTTTAATTTTGATAACACTTTTGAGATTCATGACGACAGCGAAGTGCTGAAGAGAATGGGAATGTCCTTTGGGCTTGAGGCAGGCAAATGCTCAGCTGAGGACCTAAGAGCTGCAAAATCACTGGTGCCAAAAGCTTTAGAAGGCTACATCACAGGTAAGTTAGATGAGACTTTCAAATACTGTTGCTGATCAAATTCATAACATTAGTTAACTGAAGCAAATTGAATGGTATGTAACATTTGAAGTTACATGGGAGCTAGTAGGCTTGGTACATAAACAAAGTTTTACAGCTAATTTGGGAAGGTTTATCATAGTTGTCCTGTAAACTTAATTCACACTGATTTCTAACAACAAACTCCCAAGTGAGCTGCATTATGAAGAAACTATTTCTTAAATAACTAAACTGACACCAAGAACAGATTTTCATGGGTTAGTATTCATTTTGCGTAACTGTGGATGTGTGGAGGAGCAAACTGGAAGACAGCAGCTCTTCAGAAGTTGAGGAGGGAAAGGAAAGAAAAAGAGCACCTTGAACTGGTTGAGCGTAATCCATATGTGACCCAGCTGCACTGGCACTTTACCTGGCCTAAGGTAGGTGAGCTCTGCTAAGGATTCTCCATATCTCCGTCCGTGTAGACACGGTCAGTGTATTACCAGTACGTGGATGGTAGGGTCTCTGTGTCCAGTCATTTCTACACTTACTTAACATGTAAAACAGTGATACTTAGAGAAAACACATGGCTGGTAGGTGCCATCTGAGAACTGAGCTTCTCAAAATAAAAGCAAGAGGCTCCAAAGAGTTCCAGGACAGGTCTCCCATGCAGAGCCTTTTACCTCCTCTAGTCATACTGTTTGAACAGGTCACACTTAAGTAGACTCAAACCTAGATCTCCTTCAGTGTTGCATCACTGGACTAGAGCTGCTAAAATTTGTAGTCACTTCCTTTAGTTATTGTCAGACTGCATTCTTCTTGCTCTACCCAAAGTTTAAACTTAGCTCAGCTTTTTCTCAAGTTTCTGGAAGGACTTCATCTGTAAAGGAAGTGTTGCCCAATGAATTACTGTACACAGACGTTTTTGAGGAAAGGGGAAACAAAGCTATTGCCCTGACTTTCCTAAAGCTAATTCCCTTGTGTTGGCAACATTTTAATCTTTGTGTCAGGATCTTTTAAATGCAGGCTTTATATTAAAAATGCTATTTTGTTTTGCTAAGAAAAATATAGTTAAGTAGTCAGGAAGCTGAACACGTGTTTTTTTTATTCTTGAGTTTACTGTGTGAGAGAATTAAGAATGAAATAGTTTCTTAAAACTTGTGATATCAAAACACTGCTAGGTATAAATTAGAATTCAGTTACATTCACTAAAAATAATACATTTTAAATGGCTTAACATTTCAAACTACATCAAATATATTTATGTTTATCAACGCTTGTTTGTGTTTTCCTGGTCCCCTTGTACTGGGGGGGAACCAGTACAAGGGTTTAAAACTAAGATTTCAAATTTAATTTTGGTCAATTTTGAAATTACACACCAAGTTTTTATATGGCTGGACTGGTGCCAAAAAGAGAAGTTGAAAGAAATTTTTATTTGTTCCTTGCACATTCATACAACTAAAAATTTTTACCACGATTTACCACCAACGTAAAAAAGGGAAAAGGAGCAGAACCCACATCTTCTAATAGGGTTGTCATCTTGAAGTTAACTTGATTGCTCTCATGTATCAAGGAGCAAACTAAAATTTCTATTAATTTTAAACTTGCATTTATTTATCTCAGGAGAACAGGGTTTCTTTACGTGTGCAAAAACCCCTATGTCATTACACTATTTGCCAAGTAAAACCAGCTTTTAAAGACTAAGCAATAAAACTACATGTCTAAACTAATGATTAGTAGTTCATTTTAGTTTCTTTTGAAGAACAGTCACACCAATGTACTGCTTGGTGGGTTTTTTTAATTGAAAGCATGAAATGCAAAACAACCGTGATGTTCCTGTGCAAGTGAGAAACAAGCAGTACTCTGTTTCAAAGAAACTAAACAGAAAAAAGCAGATCCTAAGATGGCATATTCGTAAAGAATGTTGTGATGAGGGTTATTTCTCTTGTAGCAGACCAGCAGCCGGAAACCTACCTAGAATTTTAATCATAAGAGATGCATTGATTTTATTTTTTCTACTCAAAATGCATTGAGGCAAGTAATGGACTCTTCAGACATGGGTTACATTCATTCAGCTCTGTCAGCCTCTGAAAAAAATTAGTCCAGAAGTGTTGTTACTAGAGCACGTACATTTATTTTAAAGGTTTCTTCTATCTGTTGCTTGCTGCTTAATTAATTAAATAACACAAATCTACCGTTAAGAGTATGAATTGCATAGGAAATATTTCTAATGACAGTAACTGACAAATAAGGGAAACAGATTTACATGTTTTGCACAATACTTGAAAAGCCAGCGTTTGCCTGATTATATATTTTCAGTTAAGTGTAACTTCCCATTTTAACCTCTGCAGTCTTTAGACGTTTCTTACACTGCAGGAGTAGTGAACTGAAAGGCTCATCACTGGTTTCTAGAACTCACAGTTACTTCCATAGCTCTCATGACAACACTTCTAAGTACATCGGCTTCAATTACTACTAGACAAGAAAAGCAAGTCAAGGTCTTTTAGTTATTCACTGAATAAACTTATTACAATCCAGATGAAAGTTCTCCCACACTAGAGGACTCCATGAACTCAATTGCTGTAGAAACCAGTCCTGTTCTAATATGTCTAAGTAGGTACATCATTTCCCATACAATGTTAGTTTGGCCTTCGTCTGGTCATCTTTTTTTCAGATAATTACTGACTTCCAAACACTAACGATAGTTTGTATTGTAATGCTTGCTAATAGGACTGGAGAAACAGTTGGAAGAATCGAAGTCTAAACCAGCTCAATGAAGGAAGTTTAAAATTGATAAAACCACTTGGACTATCTCAGCTTCAAAAAAAAAAAGTAACTCCTAGTTGCATTAAACATGCCAAATAATTTGCTTGGAACTGCTGAACAGATGTTCTGTGCATCAAAACCTTAGTTAGTATATTTTCCTTGCCAGAGGATCATGTGTTTTAGCTAGTCTTCAAGTGCCCTAATTTGATAAAAGTCGTGTCTTCTAGGTTTTTCTATAGGTTTCATGATCTTTTAGCAAAAAAGTGTTGGGTTTTTTTAAACATGTATTTTAAGTACTACATTGGTATGATCGCCAGGTGTCTGACTGCCATTGAAAACAGCAGAAGCTAAGGCATATTAACACCATAAAGAAAAATATTATGTATATCATAAATGATGTTTATAATACATTTTTCTGTTGCTCAATTGTCGTAATTGATGCATACTTCTAAAACGGACATGATTTGACCTTACTTTTTCTTGTTTCCCAAAAGGGAGCAAGAGTAGAGGATACATCAGCTGAACCATAACTTACAGTAAAAGTTAACATTAAAGTGTTGCTTTAGCAACACAAAATCCAGAAAAAGTGACGGACATACAGCAGACTCCACTACAACCACAATACTTGCCAAATTCTTACTGTGGAAGGAGCAATGTTATTTCTAACAGGACACTTGCACCAGCTTAAGATGGCACCCCAGGGTCACAATCCTAATTATGCAGTGCTGCCCATTTTTTAATTTTGACACAGTTACTTTCCTCTGCCCTCTGCAGGAGCTGGTTCAGGGTACAAAACCGCAGGCTTTTTATCTGGTAGAGGAGTTTCTGACAATGTACCGTGTAGAATTAGCTAGCTAAGGGCTCAAACCAGAACAGTTCAAGTATAATGGAGGGATTGAGATTGCTGGATGAACAGAAATACACCACAAACTGAGACAAGCATAATCTCTTGTAGAACCATATCCAAGGTAACATCCTGTGCCTTTTAAGCCATTCATATACAACAGGCAGTTAATGCAAAACCAAGTCCTGCCTTTGTCAGTTGAGTCCTCACTTACAGAAAGGAGACTACAGATAAAAACAACCCAGGAAATAAAAATTCTGAGGCACTAACAGTTGTGGTATCACCATCCCACTTGTATGTATCCCACTAAGGCAGCAGGCAGAGAGAGTGGTGCAGTTTAGGACCTCTAGATTACAACGCTTCTTTATTCTTCCCTGCATGAAGAAGTGCTCTGCTATCTACCTGCCTAACAAGCCTTGACCGGAGAATAGGCTGGAGTTGGAACTGAAGAGTTAAGAATACCCACTGAATGAATGAGCTTGTTCAGCTATCAACAGTAATCCTGTGCAGCACTTTTGCATTAACTGCTAAAGGCTGTTGAGAGTACTCCTGTAGAGCCTTCTCATGTAAAGTACAAATTTCTACCAGCATATCTCCTGCAACATGTGCCTCGTTCATACTAAGAATGCCGCTCTTAGATTGGACTGTACCGCTGTGGGAAGGTTTTCCTAAGC